CAGCTGGGGCTTTACACACAGACAGTGAGCATCAACTCGTTAAATCAGTTGGGCCTATGCAGAGGCCTATAACTGGGCAGCTTCTGATAAGAGCTGATCAAATTTTCTTCATGCTTGGGCCATTTTCCAAGCCCAATATACTGAGGGCTTGAATCCATTTTAATTGTGGGTTTAATTTTAAATATAAGCTTTGGGCCTTTCAATTTAGGTGGCAAATTTGAACTAAGGGATCTTCAATAATGGAAGTTTCCCTTGTTTAAGTTTGGACCTGATCTTGAGGCCCGAACCTTTTGCGAATGCCTTTAACAATAATTAATTCATAATGCTAATTAACCAAGTTTTAGAGACAATCCTCAATAGATAACAATAGTTCATCTTTAGGACGTCCTTTTAAAATAAATTGAGGTGTGCCACGCAAAATTAAATTCACAAATTGCGTGGCCCTCATTAATTATATTTTATAAAATCCTTAGAATACGGGACGTGCCATTTAGCGAATTTTCATGGCCTCCCGCAAAGTTAACAACGCGTTAGTTGCTTTAGGCGTATTATTTAATAATTTTACCTTCCTAAGTACGGGTGTGCATTTCATGCAACCCAAATCCGAATCCCAAAACGTTGAATAAAATGTGTCGAGGATCCGGGTGCATTTCATGTGACGTGATCCAAAAATATGTTTCAAACAATGTTCACTTTCTTAAAATTTTTATTGAAAGCGGTGAATAATTCTAAAATTGCACTATAGAATGACATGTATAAAAATCAGATTTTAGCCAGTTATAATAATTTAAGCGACCGTGCTAGAACCACGGGATCCGGGGGTGCCTAACACCTTCCCTTGGGTCAACAGAATTTCTTATTCAGAATTTCTGGTTCGCAGACTCCAACTGGGAAGTCGAAATTTTCCTCGATTTGGGATCCAAGTTAAACCGGTGACTTGGGACACCAAAAGCCAATCCTATCCCAAGTGGCGACTCTAAAAATCAATAAATAATCCCATTTCGAATAATGTCACTTTAAATGGAAAAACTCCCTTATACATTATCTTTCGGGGTAGGTGTGTAAAAAAGGAGGTGTGACAGCTCTGGCGACTCTGCTGGGGATACGAACCCAGAATTTCGATTCAGGGTTCAAGAATTCGAGCTTAGTACAATTGTTATATTTGGCTTTATCTGATTTCTTCTACATGTTCCATGCTATATGTGCTAAATGTTTCACCGCTTTGATATTTGTTGAAATTGTATATATAAACTGTCGCGAATCCCTTCCTCTCTCTAAGTCTTCTACATCATGGAGAAGGGTGGCGAAAAATCAGAAGAGCAAGGAAAAGGCAGGAAAAAGAGGGTCAGAATAAAAGAAAAGAATTTGGACAGGAAAGCCGGGATGACGCATGCAACCGTGGTGAAACATATAAAACACATTTAACTGTATAGGTGCATCACGCCTCAACGTCCGATTACCTATCTGTTATTTGCCTCAAACTAACCGTTTGCTGCTGTCGATTCCAGTCCAGATTTTATAGAAACGGTGGTTGGTTTTTCTGTGGTAAACTGGCATCACATCAGTATTTTACCAGATCAAAAGGGAGCATAGAAATGTCTTCGGAAATGACCTTGCCAGCAGTTCCCATCCCAGAAGATAGCCCAATCTCAGGCATCCCGGCCTCAGAGTCTGCAGCGGCTGAAGAGAACAGGATCTTACGTCTTAGTGTCATGGAGATGTGGGATGCATGGACTAATGGAAGGGAGCCTCCAAGTGCCATCCCCGGATTCCCCGAGTTGTTTCCTAGAACCGGGGGTACTTCTAACATCCCCATCAGTCATCCAGATACTCCATTGGGACAACCTACCATATCCGCTCACTTTGTAGGAACACCTTCTGTAGGTCCGCCCCCAGNGAAATGAAATGAAGTGCTGCATGATTTCTCTGTTAATTTTCATTATTGTATTTCAAGTAGTTTCAGGACTTCATTGAATTGTCACTCGTAATAACTGGACTGTTGAACTATTTGGACAATTTTAGAATTATAAGAATTTATGCTCAGTAGTATTAGTTTCAGTATAGCTTAATGTTAGTAAGGATGTTGAATTGGAGTTATGTTTAGATTCATGTTTAATAAACACTGCCAATATATTGTACAGGTTTAAATGTTGTACTGGAAATAAACTCTAGAGTGAGTATGTGTTTCATAAGGATATACACAATCTAGATACAAGCATGAAGTTTAGATTTAAAATTAGCATGCAAACTGAAGCATTTACTTGCATACTTTGACACATATACAATCTAGGAAATGTGTTTTAATTTGGTTTAGTTGTTCTAGAATGTTTTAATCATCCTGAAATCAGATTATGAATAGTTTAATAGTTTGGTTGTTTACATGCTTCGGTGAGTTTAAATCGTTAGCTATTGTGTTTGTTGAATTGCTGTGGTTATGTTAAATTGTTTCAGCTCCTAAAAATAGTTGTTTACTGCAATAATTTAGAACTCAAAAAAAAAAGATACCAAAAATTCAAAGTCCAGTCAATACACATGGCCAACAACGAACTGCCTAGATGAATGAATTGGGCCTATTTAGAGGCCCAAATGTAGCAATCAACTTTACAGCTGGGGCTTTACACACAGACAGTGAGCATCAACTCGTTAAATCAGTTGGGCCTATGCAGAGGCCTACGACTGGGCAGCTTCTGATAAGAGCTGACCAAATTTTCTTCATGCTTGGGCCATTTTCCAAGCCCAATATACTGAGGGCTTGAATCCATTTTAATTGTGGGTTTAATTTTAAATATAAGCTTTGGGCCTTTCAATTTAGGTGGCAAATTTGAACTAAGGGATCTTCAATAATGGAAGTTTCCCTTGTTTAAGTTTGGACCTGATCTTGAGGCCCGAACCTTTTGCGAATGCCTTTAACAATAATTAATTCATAATGCTAATTAACCAAGTTTTAGAGACAATCCTCAATAGATAACAATAGTTCATCTTTAGGACGTCCTTTTAAAATAAATTGAGGTGTGCCACGCCAAATTAAATTCACAAATTGCGTGGCCCTCATTAATTATATTTTTTAAAATCCTTAGAGCACGGGACGTGCCATTTTTTCATGTCCTCCCGCAAAGTTAACAACGCGTTAGTTGCTTTAGGCGCGTTATTTAATAATTTTACCTTCCTAAGTACGGGTGTGCATTTCATGCAACCCAAATCCGAATCCCAAAATATTGAATAAAATGTGTCGAGGATCCGGGTGCATTTCATGTGACGTGATCCAAAAACACGTTTTAAACAATGTTCACTTTCTTAAAAATTTTATTGAAAGCGGTGAATAATTCTAAAATTGCACTACAGGATGACATGTATAAAAATCAGATTTTAGCCAGTTATAATAATTTAAGCGACCGTGCTAGAACCACGGGATCCAGGGGTGCCTAACACCTTCCTTTGGGTCAACAGAATTCCTTATTCAGAATTTCTGGTTCGCAGACTCCAACTGGGAAGTCGAAATTTTCCTCGATTTGGGATCCAAGTTAAACCGGTGACTTGGGACACCAAAAGCCAATCCTATCCCAAGTGGCGACTCTAAAAATCAATAAATAATTCCATTTCGAATAATGTCACTTTAAATGGAAAAACTCCCTTATACATTATCCTTCGGGGTAGGTGTGTAAAAAAGGAGGTGTGACAGGGCACATAAATTTATTCCATAAAAAGAGCGTTAGAGCACAAAGTAAAAAGGTTAGTATATTATTTAGAATCAAAATGCTATACAAGTGTTTGAGGAAGCACAATCAAAGTTAAATCCCAAACAAGAACAAGCTTTCAAGACTATATTGTAAAGAGTCAACTCTAGTATAACGGGATTATTCTTTGTAGATGCCTCCGGCGGAATCGAAATAATATTTATATGTCATGCATTACTTGTAAATATCATATCAAGAGGCATGACATTGTTAGCAATAATAGCAAGATGTGTACCAACAATGATTTTATTGTGAGACCACACGCTTTAGATTTGATATACCTCTTCAAACAACTTAAATTACCATCACAAATATATCAAAACAGAGCAATCGTGGTAAATTTATAAGGAAAGCAAAATTGCTAATGTGGGATGAAGCACTTATGGCTAAGTGTCAAGCGATTGAAATAATTGCCCGGAGTTCTAGAGATATATTGCGTATTAATGAACCGTTCGGTTAAAAACTAATAATTTGAGAGGTGATTTATTTCAAGTACTACCAATAGTTCCAAAATCGACAAAAGTAGAGATTGTAAAAGCTAGCTTGCCAAAGTTATACTTCTGGACTCAAACAAAAAAAGATTCAACTAACAAGAAATACAAAGTAAGAACAGATTCAATATTCAATGTTTTCTTTTTTCGTGTCGGAAACGAAGAAGAGCATCCAATAAAAGATGATTTTGTTCTTCCTGAACACTTGGTTATCAATCCCAATGGTAATAGTAGTGCATTTAATAAGAGAAATATTTCAATCATTAGATTAAAACGCAATTTGTGCAAATCGCATGATAGAATTAAAAAGATATCTTAGCTAGCAGAAATGAATATGTTGACCAACTAAATAAAAGTTTGACTGCAAAATTTTATTGTAAAAATAAAATATTTTTTAGTTTTTGACTCAACAGAAAATGATACCAATAATTACTACGAAGAAGAATACTTAAATACTTTAATACCAAATGGCTTTCTACCATACATGTTTGTTGTCAAGTTTCTTATTTCTTGCGTATGTTAGTGTCACCGTATATATAATAGACTAAGTTAAAATTGATCTTCCATTGTATATAGGTTAATTTTGAAGAAAAAATATACCCTTCATGCTACTGAAAAACTTAGATACGCCGAATTGCTTATTTAATAGCACACAGATGGTATATAGAAGTTTTGACAATAACGTCATACATGCAAAAATTATGATACTGGTTAATGTGCTTCTAAGTATATGCTTATCCCTGAATTCAACTTTCGTCTTCCGGAACTNATATATAACAACAACAACAAACCCTGTGTAATCGCATAGGTGGAGTCTAGGGAGGGTAGTTGTACGCACATCTTATCCCTACCTTATAGCCCCCACAATGATTTACTAAATTGCAAAGATATAACTATCTCCTTAGGTATTCCATGAGCTGCTTTAAGTAAAAGATCCTCTTAGCTAGCCGACTTCTTCGACTACTGCTTCCTACTCTTCCCTTTCTTTGCCTTCTCCTTTTCCTGCATTTTCTTTTTCTTAGCTTCTGCAGTGATCCATGTGTAATCTCGAGGGATTGCAAATGGATCTTGGACGTCGTTTGTGATACTATTCGAGCTGCTTGTAGAAGAACTAGGCCGTTGATAAGGGGATTTTATCCACTGAAACCAAGATGAACTTGAGGGCTGTTGCTCGGGTGGACTCTCTTTGCCTGAAGGAGTAGGACTCGAAGGAGGAGTTGAGAACTCGTCCAGTGGCTGTAATTCTTCAAACTTAGTGAAAGTAACCAAAACTCTAATTGTTGGAACCACCGGAATTGCCACCTGAAATAACAAGGGCTTCTCAGCAGAGGACTACTTGATATAAAGGTATTAAAAACAAAATATAAGGGATCCCTTTGTGCGCATGCATATGAGCGTTCACACATCTAAGACCAACTATTTTTAGGAATCATTTCTACTGAGAAGTCACCAATTCATGACGAACGATGTCAAAAGGAAAGGGATGAGAAGCGTGGGAGTAGGAGGGGAAGCAAGGAACAAATTTATGTCAAAAGTGTTACGCAGATCAAGAATTCTTGAAGAAAGAGTTCCACAATTTAACCCAATATTCAAGCAAGTATTATCCGATATCACGCAACACCAATCAAAATGCAGTTGACCCTTTTATAAAAGATAATTGACAAATTATAAACAGTTTGCCAAATTATAAACAGAAAGGATGACAACAGTGGCCAGCAAGTTAGTAACAAACACTCAATTAGCTTTTACTACTGAGTGACAAACCACAGACGCAGTACTGATGGCTAATGAGTGCCTTGACTCAAGGAAGAGACAAGGAAACAGCTGCTATTCATTTCTTGGTAAAGTTGGACATAAAAAAAGTTATATGATCATGTGAACAGTAAGAAATGGGTTTTAGAAGCAAATGTATCAATTGGAGATCCCACTCTCCCTTTCTGTTCTTTCTTGTCGGAGGTTCTCAGTAAAATATAAGGAATAGAAAAACGAGTGGATGCTTCACAGTAGGGAGAGAGGGCAGGGAAAATGAACATCTCACACCTTCCTTATGCAGATGTTACACTTATATCTGTGAACCAGAGGAAGAGCAGAAGCTATATGTGAGAACTATTTTCTTGATATTCGAAGCTGTATCTGGTCTTAACATCAAGTTGACAACCTTTCCCTATTACAACTATTTTCACTTTCTACCTTAAAATCCATAACCAAGAAATCCTTCTTCAGTTAGCTGGCCGAACCCCAGCTGACCCATAGATTTGAAACTCAGAGGAACATGACCGGCCCCTCTACAGAGGCGGACCCAAGATTCGGCAGTCACGGGGGCACCATTACATTCAATATAAATTTATTACTGCTCATAAAAATTGGTATGAGGGCCTTTGTTAATATCTGGCTATTTCTCGAAGATATTAGCAAGTATATATGGAGTTTTTGCCGAAGTTTCCGGGTGCCGGTGACCCTCTGCCTACAATGTAGATCCGCCTCTGCCCCTCTACCTTGCTCCCACTTAAGTAGTAGGCTCCTCAATGGCAGGTTTGAACTCGAAACATGCGCCCGACTCACACATCATCCATTGTACTTCCTTACTGCCGAACGAAAGCCCAAGGGGCGCCCATAGATAAATATTTCTAAAGCAAATAAATGGTTCATAAGAATAAAATTCAAGAGCTAAACTGAAAAAACATAAAAAGGAGAATCCAAATAATATGAGCTCTCCTTTCGAGAGAGAGAGAGAGAGAGAGAGAGAGAGAGAGAGAGAGAGAGAGAGAGAGAGAGAGAGAGAGAGAGAGAGAGAGAGAGAGAGAGAGAGAGAGAGAGAGGGGATAAGTAAGGCGCCTGCATGTCAAACATATTACCAATCAAAATTAATGAGAATCCAAACAAGAAAAAGTGGCAGAGATGGAGCTAAGCTTCAAGAGCCAGTATACAACACATACCTTAACCGGGAAGGTTCCTTTTGGAAGTTTTGTTGTAAGCATTTCTCTCAGTCGCCGGATAGCCTTAACTTTATTTGCTAAAATGTCAAGCAAGGGAAGGAGTTCTTCAGTTCTCAACGGAAAATCAGGAGAAAGCCAGAGAATAGGCCTCAATCCTTTCTTATACTCTTTTTCTCGGCTTCCATCTTTGCGAAGATCTCCACTTTCAGCATTACTAGATGAAGAAGCTTCGGCATCTCTTCCTCGTCTATACTCATCCCTCTTCCTGCTAACATCAACAGAATACTTCTCACCATTACTACAACCATTTATCTCCTCAATAGGAATGTCTCTGTCTATTTGTTCATGACAACTGTGCCCGTGTGCAATAACGCCATCTCCGTTCTCATTGAGAGCAACATCAAGTTGTCTTCTTTCTTCCTCTGTCAGAATATCATCAAGATCTTTACTTTCCGCCTCATTTCCATTGCATGAATTAATCATTTCATCATCTGTCATAGCACCTGGCACCCTCCTTGATCTAACGCTCACGACCACATTTTGCATATCATATACTTTAGCGTTCCATGGACCGACCATCTCCATCTTCTCGTGGCGTCTCCATGTCGTTTGTGGTGATAAAACAGCTTGAGTCACATCAATCCCGGGCCTGAATATGCTCGTTCGAGACATTGCAGCGACTTCTTCTTGCACTTCAGCCTCTGTTGCTGGAGCGCCAGCACCATCTAAAGCATTCAAAATTTCCTTTTCTTTATGTGAAACCACACAAAGCGAACCGGGATTAACTTTACCATCCTCAGAACCATCACCAAGGAAGAGAATGCTCTGATCAGATCGTTGAATACGAAAACCATCAAATCCAGCCAACGTCATATCCGCCCTTAAATTTGCACCCCTTTTCCAAATTTTATACGTATCTGAAGGCGCAATCCTAGAAATGAAAGGGATAACAGTACTCTCAAAATTGAAAGTAATCTCCATATAAAAATCCCTCATTCTCCTCATTGTTCCAATCAACCGAGGTAACCGCCTACACCATTTCGCCCAAGCCAAAGGCTGGTAATTCTTAACTATAATCTTCGCAACACCTTCTTCTCTGTTACATATAGCTTCCTGTAGGGCACTCCAGCCTTGCTGATTTTGCAAGCTCCAATCTACACCGGCAAGCATAAGCATCTCGGTTGCAGTCTCGTCCCCTAGTTTGACAGCTAAATGAAGAGGCGTATCGCGATTGGGGACATCTCGTCGATCAATTACAGCCGAAATGGCATCAGCCTTAGCTTCCTCAGCTAAGGATAGTGATTCAGTATGAATTTCAGCTGTATCACAAAGCCTAGGGAGGCCTAATATTATCTTACTAAGAGATGCATAATCTTTCAAGATTGTAGCTTTATGCATAGGGCTATGTGCATACTTTGAAACATCAAAACTTGTCATTCCCCTCAACAGTAATATACAATCACCAAATCCTATAATTGCCACAACACAGAAACACCCCAAAAAGATTCAATCTTCGCATGAAATTACAACCACTGTCAATTCAAGAAAACAAAATACAGTCAGACCTCTTTATAACAATCTATCTTCTATAACAACATTTCACTATAACGGCCAAGTTTTCTTTGGAACCGATTTTTCATGTTATGTTATGTTATATGTTCTTTATAACATCATTTCACCCTAGCAGCCAAAAAATATCAAAATTATAGAGAGGTTTGACTATACCAGCTCAAAAAATTTTGTGGCTACACAGAGTCTGTCACAAGAATTATTCAGACCCCAATTAAAATTACACTTAACTAATACAAGAAACAAAAAGTTACAACAAATAAAGGTTCAGAATCTTTCTTGTGGGACCCAAGAGCAGAAATCAAGAAAATTCTTACCTTAGTGTTCTTCCTCTCTTTCTGTAAATTGAGGAAAAAAAAAAAGAACAAAGCAAGAACCTTGTGATCAAATGGAAAAGAAAAGTTATGCAATTTTAATATAAAATTGGAGGAATTTTGGGGGAATCTGATAAAGAACAGGGAAAACTGAAAAGGGTGTCAAGGAATCAAAGGAAAGAATACCAAAGAGAAGCATATTATAGTACAACTCAACCCCACTGCTCAAGCAAAGGGCAAAACTGTCTTGTGCAAAAAAAAGGGATACAGCATATTCTTGCAATAAAAACAAAGAAAAAGCATAAGTAATGAAGGAGTGGTATAATATTTTAATTAATTACTTTATATAAAAAACGAAAGGCAAACCTAATCTTTAAATTGACAAGAGTGCTAATTTAATTATTATTTCATTTATAATGCGTCCAAGTATTTCTTTATTGTAGTTTAGTTGTATAAAACGAACACCTTCTAACATAGTATGTCATTTTTTGATGTACTGATTTGGTATAATTTTATTTTGATAAACTTTACTGCTATTCAAGTTTACAATGTAAGTAATGAAGCTCATTATTTGATTAAATTTGAGCCGTAAGAGAAAAATTTAGCTGATTTTTGACATTATTAAAAGAGAAAATGAATTATTGGAAATTGCCAAGAATTAGGGTAAAGTGGAATAGAATACCAGTGTACTAAAATTATAAACAACTTCAAAGTACAACTACGCACACTTAATTTTTTTTTTTTTTGTCAGAAACTAACTTCAATGGTATGAAATTTAAAGAAATATTTATGCTAAAAAAATTATCATGAATAATGAAAAAAATCCAAACCATTGATTACCTTTTGTCCACATGGCACATATTAAACACTCTATTGAAGATTAATGGACGAAATAGTACTGGAGATCCCAATAATACCTTGGGCACCACTTACATTGGGTTACATTTGAACTATTTTTAGCTCTAATTAGCTCTAAACTTGGCAGTTTGATAGTTTTGATTTTTTAATTAAAATTAATTTAAGTGTTGACCAAATGATAAAAAAGAATTTCCTTTTTAATTATTTTTCAAAGGGAGGAATTTATTGACTCTACTTACCAGGACCTTTTGGCAAATAAGAGTCTCAAATATGAAAGAAGAGATATTCAAGTGATATAGCTTAGGAAATTTTACCATTTATAGCAAAGGTATATAATTTATTTATTATAAATCAAAATTATTTTAAAATATTATTTTCTATAGCTATCTTTTGTATTATATAGCAAAATAGGTATTGATAGTATATACTACCATTGGGGCGTGAAATACGCTATCTATATTTTGTCTCTCTCTTTCTTTCAATTAACACACAATTCTCTCTCAAAATCCCAACAAAAATTTTCTTCTTTCTCTCTCTTCGAGCAAAATACGTGCTTAGTTTCTATGCCGGATATTGCAATGGATTTGTACTTCTTAGTTTCTGCATCGGATATTTGCAATGGATTTGTACTGCAATATTAGAAAGAAAGAGACTACGTCTTTCTTCCACGCTGGATATTACAACGGATTCCTCTAAACGGATACTACAATATTTTTTACGTCGGAGAAGATCCGAGGGCCGGGTTCGTCTCCATTTTTAGTTTTAATACAATGTATACAATATTTTGCTTGGCCGCAAAACGCCATCTCCGACGAACGTTCTTCTCTACTTTGCTATTTAGTCATATATAATGATACAAATACATTATATTATGTACAAATTCACTCAAATACATTGTATTTTTGTATAAATACATTATTTTTTGCATGTATATATGTATTTTGAAGGTTTGTATTTTTTCAATATAGCTGGATACACTTGTATTCATGCATGAATACATCATATAAACATTGAAATACAAACATTAAAATAAAACAGAATATAAAAAGTGAACATATTTAATTTTAAAATACAGTAAAATACACTGAATACAAATAGAAATACAATGAATACAACCAAATGAAATATACTGAATACAACAGTAATAACATGTAGTAGGAATAACTAAAATACTATTAATACAAATACATTTGAATACGCTGAATATAAAATAGTGAATACAGTAAATGCAAACATTGAATCTAATGAATGCAACAGTAAAAATAATAATTGAAACAGACTAAATACAGGTCACGACCCAATTCCTCCTTCCGTGAACTGTCGTGACGGCACCTAGTCTCTACGACTAGGTAAGCCTGACTCATTGCGGAAATGAAAACAAAAGCATGAATATTAACTATTGGCAACACAATTATTCATTAAGCAACTAAATGCCACTCGGCATATACAGTTATCACCTTAGAAAAAGTACCGAACAATACCCAAAACTCGAAAACGCGCAAGTCACAAGTTACTAAGATGTTCTAACTGTTCTATACATCATTTCTACAAAAAGAAAGAGGAATGAACATAAGGGGATAGAGGGGGACTCCGAGGATCTGCAGGCGCGACAGATGTACCTTGAAGTCTCCAACAGCCAGCAGTAACTGCAACTAGTGATAAGGCTGGTACGATGAACCCGGATCTGCACATGAAAAACATGTGCAGGAAAGAGCATGAGTACACCACAGTGGTACCCAGTAAGTGCCAGGCCCAACCTCGTTTGAGTAGTGACGAGATCAGGTCAGGGCCCTTCTGGTTTATATATAAGAAATATCGCAGTAAGATTAAATACTAACAGTCAACAAAATGAAATCACAAAAAAATACCACAACTTAGTACACAGAGATAGCAACTGGGGATCTCCCGGGATACCGTCCCGTATTCCCAAACGTAAACGTGCAGGGGGATCTCCCGAAATACCGTTCCGTAGTCCCAAAGTAAATATATCCAGTACAGGGGATCTCCCGGGATATCGTCCCGTAGTCCCAAATATAAATGTGCAGGGGGATCTCCCGGAATACCGTTCCGCAGTCCCAAAGTAAACATACCGCTCAATCAATATAAACAACAGTTTCAACAAGAAATGCTACAGTTTAAATTAAATTCATATCAAAGAAGTCAGGCAATCCTTACTCTAAACAGGCTGCACAGAGTCCAGGTAGGTAGTTAAGGCAGTTAAGATCCTTAAGGCACGTAAGCATGCTTCCCTAAGCTAAACACGATGGCTACATATATTAATATTGCTCAATTAAAGGAAGACATAGATATTTACTTAATGAAAAATATGGTTCTTTTTCAACAATTAGCATGTGTACGCACTCGTCACCTCACGTACACGACATTCATATAACAACAGTACCAAATCCTAAGGGGTGTTCCCCCACACAAGGTTAGGCAAGCCACTTACCTCGAACCAAGCTCAAATCAATCCGAAATCACGATCTTGCCACGAGTATCCAACTCCGAGTGGCCCAAATCAAACTAAATCAATTACATAACGTAAATAAAGCTACGAGCAACTAATTTAGCTAATGAATTCAAAGCTAAGCAAAGAAAATAGGAAAACGCCCAAAAATCCTCCCCGGGCTCACGTCTCAGAATCGGATAAAGTCACAAATTATGAACACCCGTTCACTCATGAGTCTAACCATACCAAATTCACTCAAATCCAATACCAAAATCTCGATCAAAATCCCAAAATTCGGCCTAAGAACTTTTCTCAAATTTTCCCAAATTTTCACTCCAAATCCAAAATTAAATGATGAAATTAAGCTTTCATTAATGGGATATAATGAAAAAGGAGTTAGGAATCATTATCAACAAACTTCCTCCAGAAGTCTCTCCAAATTTTTCCTTCTACCGAGCTCTCAATCAAATTTTGGAGTTATGAACTCAAACCCTCGATTTTTCTCTTTTCTGCCTAGCGATTTTTGCTTCTACGCACCTAGGACCTCATCTGCGGTCCCGCACCTGCGGAAGAATCATCGCAGGTGCGAAGGCCACTTAACTGGGCTGGAGTTGCATCTGCTGGCACTGGGCCGCATCTGCGAGCCCGCTTCTGCGGTCCCCCAGCCTCACCTGCGATCCTAGTTGACCAGGCCCAACTCCACATCTACGGTTCCTTAGCCGCTTCTACGGCTCCGCACCTGCGGCCCAAAATGCGCAGGTGCGAAAACAACAGGTGCTGCAACTTCAGCAAAATGCCTAAGTCCCAAACTAATTCTTTAAGCATCCGAAACTCACCCGTGGCCCTCGGGACCTCAACCAAACATACCAACCAATCCTAAAACATCATACGAACTTAGTCGAGCCCTCAAATCACATCAAACAACGCAAAAACCACGAATCACTCTCCAATTCAAACTTAATGAACTTGAAATCTCAAAATTCTACAACCAATGTCGAAACCAACCAAACCATGTCCGATTGACCCCAAATTTTGCACACAAGTCATATTCAACACTACGGACCTACTCCAACTTCTAAAATAGGATTCCGACCCCGATATCAAAAATTCCACTATCGGCCCGAAACTCCAAAAATTCGACTTTCGCCATTTCAAGCCTAAATGAGCCACATACCTCAAAAACACAATCCGGACACGCCTCTAAGCCCAAAATCACCCAACAGAGCTAATGAAATCGACAGAATTCCATTCTGAAGTCGATTTCACACTGTTCCGACTACGGTCCAAATTCTATGACTTAGGCTCTCATTTAGGGACTAAGTGTCCCAAAACACTCCGAAACTCAAAATGAATCATCCCGGCAAACCACAATAGCAGAAAAAGACACGAGGAAAGCAGTTAACAGGGGATCGGGGCGTTAATTCTCAAAATGACCGGCCGGGTCATTACATCCTCCCCCTCTTAAAACATTCGTTCGTCCTCGAACGAGCAAATAGACATACCTGAAGTGGTGAAAAAATGAGGATAACAGTTGCGCACCTGCTCGGTCTCCCAAGTTGGCTCCTCGACCGACTGACCCACCACTGAACCTTTACTGATGCAATGCTCTTTGACCTCAGCTTTCGAACTTGCCTGTCCAAGCATTTTGTAAAAGTATAACATAAATGTATAATTAAAATGGTTGTTTAGATGAACCGACGACTGTGATGCGGTTCGAGACATTGCAACTTCTCCTGCTACGGAATTTTTAGGGTCCTCCTCAAAATTCTTCCCCAGTTTGATGGGTTGACTTTTCTGACTGCTGCTCGTGCGACGATCGGCTGAAATTACTTCGGAATTTTGAGGATCCTCCTCAAAATTCTGCCCTAGTTTCCAATTTTGGGGGAAATGAAAATTTTATT